CTGCCATGAGGGCAGGGGACTGGACTCGATGACCTCTCGAGGTCCCTTTCAGTCCTAGTATTCTATGATTCATCACATTATTATTACCTAGATGTTGGCAAACTGATTCCTTAATTATCTGCTCCATTATTTTTCCTGGCACAGAAGTTAAATTGCCTGGTCCGTAATTCCCTGGGTTGTCCTTATTTCCCTTTTTATAGACGGGCACTAGAATTGCCCTTTTCCAGTCTTCTGGAATCTCTCTCATCTTCCATGACCTTTCAAAGAGTCTACAATTGGACTGCCTCTCTGCTGATGGACTCCAGGGCTCTCTTGGGGTTCATCAGCTGACCCAGCTAGGCTCCCCTCTGGCCATCGCACCCCCACCCAGTTCCACGGCCAGCCTGGCTGCTGGTCCTGGCAGGGCTTCAATGCTAGGCCCAACCCCAGCCACCAGGCTCCATGTCCCCAGTTGGACTGCAATGCTGGGTCTGACCCTGACTGCCAGGCTCTGCGCCCCCGGCCAGGCTGTGCTGCTGGGTCCAGCCACCAGGCTCCCTGCACCTCAAGCTGGCTCCTCTGCCAGCCCCAACCACTGTCCCCTCATCCCACTCCTGGTTGCTGGACTCCCAGCTGGGGACTCTCAGGTCCAGCAACATCCAAGATCCAGCAGTTACACCAAAGAGTTCCAGATCAGAGAGGTTCAACCTGTGTTTAACAGCTCAGATATCTCCTCAGTCAGCTACTTGGGTATTTTAGGAAGCATTTCATCAGGTGACATGAAGCCATCTAAGTAATTTTTTAACTTATTCTTTTCCAATTTTAACCTCTAAACCTACCCTATTTTCACTGACATTCACTGTGCTAGGCATCCGCCCACCACTGAAACAAAACAGTCATTATGTTCCTCTGCTATTTCCACATTATTGTTTCTCTTCTTCATTAAGTAATAGCCCAACTCTGTGATTGGTCTTCCTCCTGCTTCCAATGTATTTGTAGAATGTTTTCTTCTTACCCTTTATGTCTCTAACTAGACTGAACTCATTTTCTGCCTTTGCCTCTCTCATTTTGCTCCTACATACTTGTATTTGTTTACATTCATCCTTTGTACTTTGACCCGGCTTCCAATTTTTATAGGACACCTTTTTAATTTTTAGAAAACTGAGGCTCTCTTGGTTAATCCAGGGTGGTCGCTTGCTGTACTTCCTAACTTTTCTACACTCTGGAATAGTGTGATCTTGTGCCCTTAAATAACATCTCTTTGAAAAACAGCCAGCTGTCTTCAATTGTTTTACCTCAGACTTACTTTCCATGGATTCTTCCCTACCAACCCCCAATGAAGTGTTCCTCCTTGAAATCCATTGTTTTATTTTGCTGTTCTCCCTTCTACCATTCTTAAGACTTATGAACACTAACATTTCATGATCACTTTCAACCAAGGTGCCTCCCACTTTCAAATTCTCAACCAGTTCCTCCCAATTTGTCAAAATCAAATCTAGAACAACCTCTCCCCTAGTAGCTTTCTTGACCTGAAATAAAAAAAAATGTCTCCAATATATTCCAAGATCTTGCTGGATACTCTGTGTCCTGTTTTACTTTCCCAACCTATGTCTAGGTAGTTGAAGTCCCCCGTCACCATCAAATCCTGTGGTTTGGGTGATTTTGTGGTTAGATGGACTGTAGTAGACACCCTAATATGACATCAGCCTTGGATTTTTTTATCCTTACACAGAGATTTTCAACATGTCTGTCTTTTATGTCCAACTCAACCTCAGTCCAAGTAGACACGTTTTAATATATAAGGCAACACCTCTGCCCTTTTTTCCCCTGTATGTGCTTCCTAAGCAAGCTGTATACTTCTATAGCAATATTAGGGATGCAAGCGACTAGTCAACTACCAGATAAGCCTAGGCTTATCAGGTAGTTGAGTCACTACTTGACTGATCACTTC